TAATAGTCAGTTTGTTTAGCATTTATTCAGGGGTAGAAACTAATTTCATAGGAAAATATTTACGGTTGAGCTAAACTACATTATTTTTCAGATAAAATTGATTGATAATTTATTATAATTTATGGATTTTGTCTATATAATATTGGTATTATAACCCTGTGAGTAAAAGTGGCTGTGTCGTTCTAATACCTAACGTAAGGTAGCGTACCATCGAATACCTACTTACCTTCAACCTTTAAGGAATGTCAATGATATTCAATTAGTTGTAGCAAAGTGATAAGAGAATTGAACAGTCTCAATCCTGATATATCTTGGTTTCTATTCTTGGAAGTAGGAAAACAAATTTTAAGGACGATGGAGGATCCTCCGATTCCGATTTTATCGACACTAAAAAGAGTAACAAAATAACAGAACAACCACGCAACCGTGCATCGCCACATTAATCACCGTTGTTACCTAAATCACAATTCTGCAGTTGTAAACACAATTGCGCCGTCAAACACTTCCTGCTCGCATGAGCCGGCTCACGTACACCGATAAATTGTCCAAGTTACTTGCTAAAGTGTTCTCGTGAATAAATCGGTCGTTTATTCAGCTCGTGTCCTCTCTGTCGGCTATGAAAGTGAAACTTGAACTTTGCACCGATTATAACGACCTCTATTTGCAAACGACAAAGAGCTCTAGCAAATGTGTCATAAGCTTCACATTTGCAGCGGTATATTATGTTTTCTTCAAGAGAATAATGAGATGTAAAGTTTTAAAACTGAACTTTTGTTACCATCACGTTGGTTGTAAAGTGTATCATTTTGGCAGTAGCGTTTTACCGTATAAGGCGTACATTTGGTGACTATGTAATAGGCATTAAAATTGTAATTAACTTTTACACATTTGTTAATGCTGCCCAAATATCTGTTTAAGATTTTTCTTTGTACGTGGTCCAGTGTAACTTTCCTCAGATGATGTACATGAAATGAAATTGTGAATATTACTCAATCTTGTTTATTCAGCGTCAGACAGTTCGGACTTCGGGTATTGTGTAAGTTGCGTCCGTCAACATCCCTGCGGTCCGGGCTATCGATGGCTGTTCGATGATAAAGACGGCACACAATGTAGGTAAAATATGCGAGGACCTCAGTTACATGCAGTCGCTTCTGTCAATAGTTAGGCAATGTTGAAAAAATGCAAGGAAATAAGACACTAACTGAAATAGTTTTGTATTGTAAGTGCTATGCAGATGAGCTAGCTTATGACCAAATATAGTCATATTATCAATCCAGACCTAGGCTCTTTTAATTGTACGGTTGGTTTACCTACTTTATCAATTATTACTTACAGTTCTATAAACTGTACCACTTTACACTAAGCACTGTGTATCACCGCCAAAGAGCAATGCCTTTCGAATTCATACAATCTATAAACTACAATACACTTCACCTTAAACTGTCTGATATCTCGTGATAACAGTGTTCTTTTTTTTATGTGACAGGAGACAAACGAGCAGACGGATCACTTTGAATCTTGTCGGACAATACATTCAAAGTGACATATCTGGACACACCTATTCTATGCCAATGGTCAAACTTCGCGAGTGATGATTGAATACGTCCCGAACAAACATCTTGCGGACGGCTCTATCCTTTAAGCCGGGGCAAATTGATTTATTATGACGATGATTACACCAAGATCAGTCTGTTTGCAATGCAAATATGCTGAAGATCCAGTGGCTGTGGGTCCAGTTAGGATAGATGTAGTTTGAGATTGTTGGACCATTTCCAAATAATGACAAGTGCATTATAGTAGAAAATATATTCGGTGTAGAATGCGATTCGATGAAGTCGCACATAGCCACTGTTAGAGCCAAAGCACATGATGCGTTGCGGTGCCGCATCGCAAAAATATCACCGTCTCGCGCGGCGCGGCGCGGTGCATCGCTTGTGTGCCCGCCATAGATCCTATGTCAGACAACGCAGTGACACAATTAAGATGCATGTAAACACATGTTTATGTTAAAAAGTTAACACACACACTACTAATTACTTTACATGCAATTAATCACTTAAAATTAAGCTAAAATTTAGTTACCTACTTAACTATTTAATACATGTAAATCAGCCTTTATCAGCGCCTACACGCGTTAAGTCATAGCAAAGAGGTTACGTATGTAATTTAGCAAAATTAACTCTACTTCATAAGAATAATTACCTCACTCTCTACAATTCTGTCGAAACTTGTGTTCTTGATGACTTGCTAAAATACAGTCTTACCTGAAACAACACATAACAGAATTAGGCACAAAATGATTAGTTAATTTTACTATAATCAGAAAATAAGCCAAAATTTATCAAAGGTTCTGCGGTATTTTCACGAAAACTTAACAAGTATGTAGACAGATAATTAGTTAATTAAAACAAAATGTGTCAAATGAACAAACACACAGCGTAATTTTAGGATTAAACTATTTGAATAGGTAGATGTATGTGAAATATCATGTTAATACCTACATCCAACCTCATCACAAAATGGGCACCTCATTAACTAAACAGTGACAGTACAAATTACCTCTTATCTAATTGTGAATAAAGTTAATTTTAATTTTAAGTTGCAGCCAACTAATTTGTTACCACAATTATACGTTGAAAACCGACGCCAGCTCCAAATGAAAGTTTCTCACGAAATTAATTTAAAAACATAACCACTCTCTATTTATTTGCCAGACCATTGCACTTAATTTCGTTGGTATGAAAGGAAAATAACTGTAGAAATTCGCCGTGCATTTTGTATCAGAGTAGAATTTTTATGCGATATGAAGATTTAGTAGAACAGGGAATACACAAGAACGTTCTGACATGGAGCTGGGTTGTATAAAATGAACGCAGTTTTCCTGCAGTTTTAGATTTACTTCTGTCTGAACTGACTGTCAGGTTGTTCTATCATGTAAACTAAAGCTACGAGCATAATTTTAGAAGAAAGAAAGAAAGAAAGAAAAAATATTTATTTGGTACTAAATGATACACATTGACATTAAAAAGTAAAATAATACAATTGTTGTACCAAATTGGTCTCTGCTCAGTATGAGGCCATAACGTACTCGGGAGCACGTTACGGCCACTGGTATTCTGCAGAAACCATGAGAGAGGGGCACTTAATTTTAAATCTGTTGTTGGTCATATCTTCACTTCTAAACGGCTGAACCAATTTTGGCATAGGGAATGATTGGACTTGGCAAAAAGGCAATCATTTTGCTATAAACTGACAGCGAGAAAAAGATGAAGATGTTGATGAATCATCATCGCAATATATTCAAATTCAAATAATTTATTCAGTACATAGGCCCTTTGTAGGGTACACGTCCCAAATATACGAGTAGCTTGCCCTACCACCACTTCACATACAACATATTAGTTTTAAAATTTCTTTATTGACATAAAATACATGATAACAAGTGTATAACAAAGATAACGTACATTGCTATGGGACGACATAATGGGCTGGTGCTGAGAAGAAGTGGCGGAAGAAACTCACTCATATAAAAAACTTTAAGGAATATTACAAAACATATTATTGAAATGTTGAAAAAAATAATAAGCTTTTGTGGGCAAATCCGCGGGTCGTATCTAGATGAGAATAACCTAAAGACCCTTTAGTAAATTTTTGATACTCAAACGAAAGGTCTGTTCAGGTTCCCAGATCATTTACTGTGACGTATATCTTAGATATCCTTCGAAAAAGGATTGGGTCCAATCTCTTTTCTAAGCACTTGGTAACTCAAGTACAGGAAAAAATAAAGTAGCTCCGTTCTTCTACTCATCTATATCTTCTATACTTATAATAAATCTGTAGAGAGGTCAATTCTGTACATGAAATATATTTTCAAAATAACTATTAGGGGGTGATTAGTGATCGATACTGATGCCAAAAATGCAATCAGTAAAATTTTTGTCTGTCTGTCTGTCAGTCTGTCTGTCTGTATGTTCCTTATAGAAACAAAAACTGTTCAGANTGCCTAATTATAATCTAACATTACCTTTCACCTAAAAAATATTTCACCAAGTTATCTCTAATAGCGACGAAGCAGGATTTTTTTTAACTTCAAATGCGATTTCCCAAAAATCACCATTTTCGACTTAACTCCGTTTTCACTGGGGGTACAGGTATCTGCATATAAGAAGTTGATTTTATCTTTTTCACGATATAACATTGTTGATTCCTATAAATACTAAAAATCTTTACCAAAAACAAAAAATATAGACTCATTGTGTTTTTATACATGATTTTTTCATGTTTTGTTTAAAAATTAATAATAAAATGATTTATACTATGTATTAGTTTTATTTTTGTTTTCTTAGCTCAGTAAAGAACCCTATAAACATAGACAGTTATTAAAATTAAGATTACTTGTTCAATTTCCTAAAAAAATGTCGATGAAGTATGGGTCAATATGACCCGGGGTCATCGTCTTTGCAATTATTTTCACGTCATTGGCGCCGGGTTAATAGTCCAATACTCAATCCCATGTCAATAGAAAAAATATACAAAAATAAAACTTTCACTATCAAGACCGAATGTTCCTTGCAAAGAACTATTATTTTCAAACGAAAGAAAATCTTACAAAACTACTTCAAATTGGGAAAAATAATTTTTTTGCTTGTTTAGCAGTATTTTAACTGAAATTATACTGGTCAGTTTTGCAATTAAACTACGTTTACGTGAAGAAAAAAAAAATCGCACATCACGTCTTCTCGGACGAACCACCTTGTCACAGAAAAATGACGATTTGACATTGACATTTTGTTTTTTTTATATTAATAAGTTCGGATACCTGATTTTGAATACTTTAAGCCATAGACTATCATTCTGTTTTTTCGATAGGCGCGAATTTTTGAACTTAAATTTATCGCGAAAGTTTTAGTTCCTCTGAAGGCACATCCGGCGATACTTCGAAATCACCTCCGAAAATGTCTCGGCGTTACTGACTACAAAGTTTCAGTTCCTTCTGAGGCACATCCGGGCTTACGAGGTTAAAGAACTGTGGAACTTATTTACATGATATTAATACATACAAACTTAACCATCAACAGACTGATGAAGAAGCAATAGATGCGATGCACAAATTGAACGGCAAACCGATCCCAGGCACGTTTCCTGTAGTCCGATTCAGGTTGAACACAGCATCCAGGGAGGCTCGTGCGAACATGCAACAGGAACGAGAGTTCTCCGTGTGGGTTGGAGACTTGAGCCCTGATGTTGACGATTATTCCTTGTACAGAGTATTTGCAGCAAAGTATAATTCCATTAAAACGGCTAAAGGTAACTTAAATTTCTATCTAGCAAGCTTTTGAGACTTAAACTTAACTTCATAGGGGCTTTGTCACTAGTCTAGAGATGTTCTAGCTCTGTTGCTAAATGTATTTTATTTTCATAAATGATGGCAGCGAAACTAAAGACAGTATTAATAAACAGTGGGATAGCAAAAAACTGAACTTAACATTCTCATGTATCAATTTAGTATTAATTTGACTTGTATTTTAGTAATTTAATTATGCCTTTGTAATAATTATGTCCTTCTTTATTTTGCAGTAATACTGGACAGCTCAGGATACACAAAGGGCTATGGTTTCGTCCGATTTGGCAACGAAGATGAACAGCGGAATGCTTTATACGCCATGAACGGATATACTGGATTAGGCAGTAAGCCCCTTAAGATCTGTACCGCAGTGCCTAAGCCCAAAGGCGCTGTGACCACGCCATCGGCCACACCCACTACTGCCAGTGCAACATACAGCAGCGGGACGGTATGCTTTTTCAATTACAAGTTGCACCAAGCGGGAGTGACATGAATAGCTATGTATAAATGATATTGTATTTGATAGCTGTTACTGTAGAAACAGCGTATCTGTAGTTTTCACCCTTGCTAAAGATAAACATTTCTGCAATTTAAAATAATTATTTATACAAAACAAAAGAATTTATGATCACTAGAACTAATTTTCATTAGTAATTTTACTGGCAATAGATGAAATAAGTAATTTCAATAGGGCTTATTGGCTTTCTGTCTTAAAAATTATTCATTCATCATTTTTAAAATGACTTCTTCATATCATCATCATCAATTCACTGATCATAAAATTTCATCAAGTATTGTAATATGTGGCTGGCTTAAACGCCATTAGATCGCCGATAACAGCACGTTGATTTGTCATGAATGCCTGAGAGATATTAAAATGAATATTGATTTGAGCTACACGCACACAAAATACTCATGAAACTGCTTCCTCAGCTCATAAAATGTAAAGTTTGAATGAAAATGCTTCTGAATAGAATACCGAGTATCAGTGTATTTGCAACGTGTGCTTTGCTACCGAGTGAGATTGTTAGAGCATAACTGGTTCGTATAAATAGAGCTTAGAACCATTGCCTCAGCTGTATGGCGTGTCGCCAATTAAATATGCTGAGTACTGACGAACAGTTATGATTATAGGAGTACAACCAATATTATGATCCGTCTGCCTATTGGCAAAATTACTCAGCGTGGTCTGGCTACTATGGGCAGGGCGACCAAGCGGCGGTGGCGCAGGCGCCGGTGGCCGACGCCGCCCAGGCCGCCGCCGTCAAGGCGCAAAATGACGAACTGGCTCTCGTTGGTAAGTGATTATACACAGCACAGGTGGCACCAAGGTTTATACACAATCACGCAGGTATACACTATTTCCCATCGAAGTACCTATGTGGCTAACTTGATCTTCAATCACCAGCAATCCATAAGCTAATATTATGTAGGTGGAGGTATATGGTAGGTGGTGTTTTCCTTGCAGTCTTAACTTTATGTTACTTTTTCCTCAGATTAATTTGTGTTAACATGGAATTTTACATGTATAACCCTTTACTGCACAAAGACATCCACGTTAGTTAATTTCCCTCTCTTAATTTGAAGGTTCTGAGGTAGATAAATAAAACTGATGTATATTCTTCAATGTTTTAAGATACTTTTAGATCTCCATGTATTTGGACTCCTAATTTATTAATTATTTGGTTTTCTGCAGCAACCTGCAGCAGCTCTCCTGCGCCCAGTTAAAAAAGAATACCGTTTCTCTTCTTGTGATATTCCGTCTAATAGACGGTAACAGCGATGCGGACCGCTTTCAAATAAGAGGCGTGAGGAAGCGCTGCAGTGGGCGCAGTGGCGCCACTAAAGTTTTCATTTCATACAATTTCTAGAAGCGTAGTTGCAACGCCACTACCGTGACAAGACGTGCGAATGTTGCGCTTCTAAAGCCTGGTCCGTGAGGACGTAGAATCCCGTCCAATGACCCCAAGCTACCCATCCTTATCGCTCGCGCGTAATTATATTGCTGTCGCGACTGTGCGATGCGCGCCCGCAGTGAGTGTGCGAGCGCGACAGTGTTGCTGTCGCGCAATAATATATCGCATAATTACGTGCGAGCGACATGGATGGGCAGCTTGGAGTCATTGGACGGGATTCTACGTGCTCACGGACCAGGCTTTAGAAATTGTTTGGAAATAAATTATGGTTTAAGTCCCGAATTGAGCAGCTTGTGTAAGCGCCTCTTTAAATATCTGTGTACCCAACTATTCTTAGAAATTGTCTTTGTACTTTCAGAGCACAAGAGGACCATAGACGTGGACGCTATGAATTGCGAGTTCCTAAACCCCGAACTGTCTTTGTGGGACAGTCTGGAGTCCTCCCAGTGGCTACCCCACGAGGTTGTCGAAGTTCACTGACAAGAAGAAGACCAATACGAGGTGCTGGATGAGTGATGTGATATTATGCCAGGACCGTAGTGATGTAATGATAAGTTAATTTTAATCTTTATAATATAGAATAAATACATGAATTACTGTGTTTGATTTGAGATCCTACACTTTTATTATACTATTTTGCTCATTCTTATTGTGACAAAAGGAACTCGTGTTTCCGCGAGGTAAAGAAGACATTATTTTTTACATAATTGAAATAAAAAAACAATAATATTCAAGATAATCTTTATATAACAAACAATACATTATGTAAAAATAAGGAAACTGATTCAACTCGGTTCCTGTGATGAAATGCAGATCCAATGTTCATGCTTAAAATATTGTAGATTTTACGCTCAGACCGAAAACGCTCTTTGATGGAAAAAAAACTGCTTACAACGCTTACGTGCCTACGTGTACGTAATACTGTAAAACTACATTGCGAAATTAGTGTTGTAGCTTTTGATGATTAAAATTATGTGGCCGTTTTCAAAGCGGCTAGAACACGAACGTACGCGATGTGGACGTTTTACAATACAATGACCACAACGCGTTGTGAGCTGTTTTTTATCACAATAAACGTTTACGTTATTTGAGCGTAACATAATTAAATTTAATTACATTTTACACTACAAAACAAATATTTACAACATTTAAATCTAGCACAAAACATAACGTCAACTAGCGATGTCTATAGATATGAAAATTCAGCCTGCTGCAGCTTAAAATTGGCACGCCAACATTATTTACGATAAGCTATTAATATTAGTACGTATTTCGATTTCGTTTCTATTTATGGAAGTTTTATCAAGGCATCATTTACTATACAATAGGGATGTAACAAACGGATTACGAACGAATAATATACAGGGTTATTTGACTATTTGTAAAACACCAGTAACTTATCAGGAAGCTAACATCATAAGCACTAACATTTATTACATTATTGCTTATGAAGTTATGAAGCTCTGCGAGGTTTCTGGTGTTTTACAAAATGTCAAATACATTCGTTAAAAATTTGCATCGTTCTTTGCGAATATAAATTCCAATGTGCGAGCGAATATTCCCGAATTAAAATACCTAATTGTTACATCCCTACTGTACATTTTACGGAGATACAAATATATGAGGTCGGTTCTCTTTATAAACAAACTTAACTTTAAATCTATAACTACAACACTATCGTAATTGCTCATAAATATCTCACTTTAGGCACGCGGTAAGGTAATAAAATGTGTTCAGTCTCACATGAGACAATCAAGATGGAATTTAGACTCGAAGCACAACTCAAAGATTGAGGCATTGATGCTCAAAATCGTCTATTTCACCTGGACCACCTAGATTTGATCACCCAGGTGATTAAAATGGACTTATCCATGGGTGATCAAAGGACACTAAAGTGTCGCTGGGAGTCCACTTTCATCACCTGTGTGATCAAATCCAGGTGATCAAAGTGGAATAGACCTCAAGATCCGGTTTATATTTCGATTATTTTCAAGTTCGTGCTAGGTTGAATTTTAATATCTGGACCAAGAACAGTAACAACCAACTATATGAGTGTCATTCATAATGTATACCTACCAGAATGGCAGTCGTTTAATTATTTTTAATAACATCAAGTGTACATAAATTACATATTTGAAGATTTCTAAGGCACCTTTATAAATTATGAATATTACACCCACAAATACATTCCAAATCAAACTTGCCGTTTGTATAAATATTGAATTTCAACCAAACACAGTTTATCAAGGCCTGAATTTGAATCGTTTTAGTTCAATTTGTAAGAAATATGAGGATTTTTTCCGTCATATTTCAGCCTAGTAAGTACTCTTGTCCCTTATGTGACTAAACACATTGTATAGATGTGTATAATGCTTCCAATAGAAATAACCCTATATTATTGCTTTCGATTAACAAGGTATATTTTCTGCGCATTTTGGCAATATTGCTTTACTATGTACTTGTGAGTAAAAATATAGATTTTATAGTATTCACTAACTACTACTAGTAAAAAGTAGCTATAACTGCCTCTAGCCTTAATCCTATACGAAATATAGTAAAGTTTATCACGTGACAAAAATCAATAATAAGAAAACGTTAAAGCTGCGTGATCGTGTAAGAACTATGCCTTTGCCTTTTCACCGGGCTGGGGTTCAACTGTATGACACTAGAGGTCGTGGCGGTTTTGTCGTCAGGGTTGATTACCGTGACGGGCGACGTCAAAGGAGACCCGGGTGGGCCTTTGGGCGTCCCTTTCTTCATGTACCCCACGACGGAGTTGAGGAATGTGGGAGGAAGCGCGATCGGAGTTAACTTCCCTTCCCCGTGAGCTATGTACGTCTGCAACATTTTCTTGGAAGGCGATTTGGGGTCATTAACCGTGAGTACGACTAGAGATCCGGACTCGATGTTGGAAGGCACGGCAGTGGAGTTCAATAAGACGGGGCCGGGCGACGGCGTTTTTGAGGAGTTTGGGACCACTCGAGAGATGGTCGCCATGTCTACGGCAGGCTCCGCAGGTGGTTCCGGGGTTTCGTTCGAGTTTAATAACGTGATAGTTGCGAACGGCGTCTTTGGGGTTTGTTGTTTGCTAGTGCTGCCCCGCTTGGCCTGCAACTTGGCCGCGGCGGCCAACTTTTTCTGTTTCTTCTTCTCTTCCCTCGCCACTTTCGCTCGCTCGATGATGTCATCAGCGGTGAGCGCCTCGCTGTTTCGTTTTCTCAGTAACATGGAAGGCCGGCAAGAGTTCTCCAAAGCTTTCACTCCTCTACCTGTAATACATAAAAGTGTGGATTAATAAAAATATGAATAGAGGATTAAATTCTTAGACTAATCGTCATCACTAAAATTAATCATTTCAGTCTTCAGTTTTTCTTAATTGACGGCGCGTTCGCGCCAACTGTACTATTCAACACATATTCGCAGAAGACGGTGCAACAAAAATTCCAAATAAGAGTAATGAGACAGCGGACATTATGTTCTCTCTCTCACACTGTTCTTGGGTGTAATGACGTCATGCAGACGTAGAGATGCGTACTTTTTATGCAAGTCTCAAGTGTATGTGTTACGGCTAAAGATAGTTGTGAACATAAACTTAAGATTAGCCGGCTAAACTTAAGTTAAGTTAGTTTGCGTCGTGATATTCCATCTTTAGCCGGTATTTGAAGTAGATTGTAAACTACAGTGACTTACTCTGCCGCAAGTTGACCTCCTTGGCGAGAGCGGTGCGCTCACGCTCGGCCTTCCTCTGGCGAGCGATATGTTCACGTTCGCGCTCGGCGCTCGCGGCGGCCTCGGCACGTTCGGCCGCGAATTCGTCCTGTAACCGCGACGGGTCCCACGTGGTGCCCGAACGGAGAGCTTTGTCTAGTTGCGCGCCGTTCACCTTTTCTTCTTTTTTGAACTGAAATGAGTTTAATTTCGAGTTAAATATTTTTTTTGCAGAAGAAAGTAGGAATTTGAAAGCAGTCGCACATGATGCTTAGTAAGATGTAGTTTACGGCGGTACACACCTGCCCAATATTATTTTTACCCGACTGCGTTACAAATGCCTATTCACTCTCGCCTTGAAGAGTCCTACTTGTCGGCACCGCTGGCCCAACGGAGTTACTCCGAAAAACTTTATCCGATGCTTCTAATGTTACCATCCCTCTCACGCAAAGCGAGATGCCAGCGTGAGCGACAATGACAGATAGACCCGAAACTACGTTAACAGCGTTTCAGAGTAACTATGAAGGTGCCCTCGTATCAACGAGGATATTTTGTGTTTACAGTCTGTCTCTTTCGAACAAGCTTACCTTTATCTTGAGGTCCCTCCTATTCCGTCCAGGGAACAGCGGCGCCATAAGTGAGAAGTCGGTCCCAATGGCCGCTAGAGCCCGGTAGAACCGCACCGTCTCGGCCGCGCTCCATTCCGCGGTGCGAGCGGTGCGATTGTATTTTCCGCCGCCACTGGCCCAAGCCCCTTCTCGGACCACGGAGGACACTTTGCGCTTGCTGTCTGTCGGTTTTATCACCTGGAATAAAAGTTGTGCTATAGGTAAGTATAATTGTTATAGCATATCGATCAAGGAGATATACAATGAAAATAAAAATGAAAATTGTGTAACAAATTCTATAGTGCTCGCTCGCTCGTCCATGCCAGATTAGCCCACCGCTGTGGGTCGCCGCGTGTAAGAATATTTATAACACCTACACGGGGAGTAAAAGAGGCCTGTGTATCAAAATAGTGGGAGAGTGAGAGTAAAATTGTAAATGTCAATGACTATTATTGTCATCCTTTGCCTGATACGGCTAAAGCTAAGTGGAAAGGATACACGCAAAAACTTACTAGGTATACACAATACACTTAAAATCAAATTTCATTCCATTTGCATTTGAAAGTCACTAAAAATTTTGCCAAAAAGATATATTTCACTTTGAAAATAGCACTTAGTTATTACAACTGTATTATTTACCAAAGTAGCTCTTGTGCTGACATCTGTACTTTCCACTCACCAAGCTCACCGCTTCGGCCGCCGCGCGCTCCGCTTCGTCCTTCTTGTTAGCCATTCATTTCATTTTAATACCCTCTGTACATAAGTTTCCACTCAGCAAGCTCTTTTCGTCAAGCACGATCTCTCCGTTAGGTAAGGCCCCGATTGATCTGGCGTCGGTGGCGGGGTCGTCGTCCGCTTCGATCTCGACATTTTGATACCCTGTATGAATTCGTTTCCACTCACCAAGCTCTTCTCGTCAAGCACGATCTCTCCGTTAGGGTCCAGCTTGATCTGGCGTCGGTGGCGGGGTCGTCGTCCGCTTCGTCCTTCTTATTAATTAGCCTCTTTCGCTTCAATCTCGATATTTTGATACTCTGTATGAATTCGTTTCCACTCACCAAGCTCTTCTCGTCAAGCACGATCTCTCCGTTAGGGCCCAGCTTGATCTGGCGTCGGTGGCGGGGTCGTCGTCCGCTTCGTCCTTCTTATTAATTAGCCTCTTTCGCTTCAATCTCGATATTTTGATACCCTTTATGAATTCGTTTCCACTCACCAAGCTCTTCTCGTCAAGCACGATCTCTCCATTAGGGCCCAGCTTGATCTGCGGCACGGGCGCG